ATTCCAAACATAACTCAAATTTCACTAAGAGCATTTAGGAGCCAATAAGATTTTCAGCAGCTAGCTATAATGCTACGTATCTCAAAATTACGCACTCCATGATAAAAATATTTGAATTTTTTTATTCTAGTTAAGACTTTAGAATTAAAATTTTTTAAAATTTATATAATAAGATATTTTATTTTATCTTTTAAATTATATTAAATTATAAAAAAAAACTTTAATATCAACTATATTATTTTTAATTAAGATTAATAAAATATAATATTAATATAATATAATTTAAATTACATTACACATTTTTTTATATAATATTATCAATTTCACGCTCAAAAAAAATTTGCAGTATTTTTTTTACTTAAAAAAATAATTGAGGATAGAAAAGGTGGGCCACGTAGTGGCGGACAAGATTTGCGGTATTATTATGGTCATGTAATTTCTTATCAATAAATTGAATCCGGTTTTTAGGTATTTAGTTAGTTAGTTAACTTTGGGGTGTTTTGGTCTTTGCGGTTTACTTTGTGAGGGTAATTTAGTCAACTCAAATGTTGGCCGACCCATTTCTCTGGGCTGTCCACTAAGGCCCACCATGGGCGGGAGTCATACTTTCTTTTTCTTCTTTTACATAAACGAATGGACTGTGGAGTCATTTCACTGTCTAATACTTCTCTAGAAGGAAACCAACGTGAGTGGCTAGTTAGAAAGTTACTCACTTGTAATTGAATATAGATTTTTAGATATAAATCATGCTTTTTGTAGATTAGATTTTATTTTAAAATTTTATAAATTAATTTAGTGGATTGTTAGTTATGAATTTAGTAATTTTTGAATTTTGTGTATTTATGGGATTCTCTCATAAGTATATGGTATCTGTTTCACTCTTAATTTTGAGGTGTGACAGTATTATAAGGTATTGATTTAAAGTTTAAGGAAATATATTAATTAGGGATATTATAGGATATTAATTTGAAATTATTTTATATTTTAAAATTTTTTAAAAATATTTGTGAAACCCCTGCCTATATCTTCCTTTTGAACCCACCATTTTTTTTGGAAATAAACCCATATTATTATTATTGTTTGGATGTGAATGGGATCAATTAAAATTTGAGTAGAACCAAACAAACACGCCATAAAGTAATTGTTGAAATTAGATTTGCTTTCCTTGAGGTCCTTGCCGTCTCTGTTACTCCAACTACTTTACGCGCCGATTCTTTCATCGTCTCCCTCGGGTTTGGCTTCTCGATTCCCCTTTCTTCTTCTGCAAAGGTGAAGTTTTCCTAACTTCCAATCTCATGTTACTCCCTACTTCATCTTTCTAGAGTTCTCTATTCTCTTCGTCTTTGTCTTTTCCAATTTCCTCCATTCTTTCCCATCCCCATTACACAATCGGTTGCATTCATCTTCTTAATTGATTGAATTTTCTGTATTTATGTTTGAATTTAGCAAAGTAAAGCTCTCAGCTTTCATTTGTTGGTCGAAAAATTCATGCTTGCGCTCTGTTTAATACTGTCTTCTTTTAAGCAACTCGTTTTTTTTTCCCCTATTTAATTGTTAGTGGAAATCAATGAAAAATTAAAATTTTTTGTTGATATGCATATATTATCATTTCATCTGAATTGCTTATTGTGATTATAGTTCAGGAAAAGATTAAAATAATTTTATTATTATTATTATTATTTTTGATACAGTGTGTTCGGCAGTTCTAAATCAGGAAAAGAAGTTGAGAAGAACTGCTGAGTTGATCGGAAGTTTGGTTAAATGGAAACTCGACTGGATAATGACGTGTTAGAGAAGATCGTCAGACATTTGGATGATCCGTCTGATATTGTGCGTGTTAGCTGTGTCTCTCGAGAGTGGCAAGATTTTGGTGAGTTATTAACAACTGCAAATGTACATATGATAAAGGGACTGAATTGTAGCCTGTTCAAAATATTGTGAAAAGTTTTAGTTGGGGTTAGGTTGTCTAGAAGTATGATTGATGACTCAATAAAATTCTGAGCATTATGGTTGGCCGCTGGGGTGCTATTTTCACTGATCAAAGAAGGTAACAGTTCATAAGCAAAATAGTAGGTATTGATTTTCTGTTTGCTCTTTCATGGAATTTCCAGTGATAAAATATGGTCTTGCCAAGCATCTGTGCTTGAGGATGTTTCCTCAACTATCCAGAGTTGATCATGTGGTTGAGCCAGCCTCCATGGCAGAAAGCCTTGTGGCAGTTGGACCTAGTAACATGGAATGGGAAACCTTGAAGAAAGAGCACAGGGCTTATGCTTTTTTGGCTCAAGGTTTTATGTCATTTCCTGAAAAGGAAATGGTTATGGTGCGATATACAGCTTCTTACGAGAATCCTGTGTTCCCTATAGTTCTGACTTACAAATTGGTGGATGATATTTGTGTTGTTACTGAAATCAGAAAAAAAGTTTTAAGAGGTATGTGTTCCAAACTCTTGATTGTTTTGATACTTTTTCACTCCTTTTAACATCTACCTTGTAAACTTATCTTAAGACATTTTAGGTCCAGCTCATTTCCAGAGTCAGTGGGGCATGGATTCTGCAAAATCTATTCAATTCCGAATGGGTCATCTCAATTCCTTCAACGATGATAATCCTTTGCATAAGTTATCCCCGGATTCTCTGG